ATGTTGGAAACCAAACCCATCGCTCCCATTGTCCCCACTCGCCCCTGCTGTCCCCTGTACCTCCTTGGTGAACTTGAGGGTCTGCAGGGCCAGCTCCCGGGTGGGAGAGAGGATGAGGGCACGTGCCCCGGCCTGGCTGGGTGCCTTGAGCCGCTCGAACATGGGGATGAGGAAACAGGCCGTCTTCCCGCTGCCCGTCCGTGCCATCGCCACCACGTCCCGGCCGCGCAGGATGGGGGGGATGGTCTGTGACACACCGACGTCACCGTCACTGCCACCGCCACCCTGCCACCCCTCGGGGAGGGGACCCACCGCCCCCCACGCTCACCTTCCTCTGGATGGGGGTGGGCACCTTGTAGCCCTTCTTCATGATGCCCTTGAAGACGGGGTAGCTGAGGCCTGAAGGGACAGGGACAGGTGAGGGGGCGTGGGCAGGAGGGGACAGTCCCCATCCCAGGGACAGCTGTCCCCCACCCCACACGCACCCATGGACTGGAAGCCCCCGGATTTCTTCTTCTTCTGGTTCTGGGCCCGAACCATGGCCTGGGTGTCCAGCTCGGCGTCAGCGCCATCGTCCTCCTCGGCGGCGGTGGGGAAGGCAGGCAGGGCGGGCGCGGGGACCTGGGGACACGCCTGTGGGGATGGGTGTCACAATGGGGCCAGGGCACTTCAGCTCTGCACTGCCGGCATCCAGGGCAGGGACATCCATGCTGGGGACAGGGGGTGCCAGGGACACTGGCACTGGGGACATCGGCAAGGGGGACATAGGTAGGTAATGGAGACAGTGGTACCGGCGACGTTTGCAACGGGGACTTGTACTAGTAATGCTGGTACTGGGGCCACTGCCACTGGGGACATTGGCACTAGAGGCACTGGCATTAGGGACACAGGTAGGTACTGGGGGCATCGGCACTGGGGACACCAGGTACTGGGGACAGTGACACTTGGGACATCGGTACTGGGGACGGTGGCACACGGCAACTGGCGACACCAGGACGGGGCACAGGGGCACCGGGAGCACTGGTACCGAGGACGCCAGCACCGGGCGCAGCGGGGACAGCGGCACACGGGGACGGGCACGGCGGTACCGCGGACACCGCCCACACCTCGGGGCCCTCCCCGCTCCCCCCGTTCTCCCCGTACCGGCGCTCCCCGGGGCTGGCGGCGGCTGCGCGGCGGCGCCATGGCGGGACCGGCGGCGGAACCACGTGGCGGGGGCGGAAGGGGCCGGGCCGGGGCCGCGCCCGCCCCGGGGCCGCGGCCATGCGGGCGGGGAGAGCGGCACCGAGACCGGCCCTGGGCGGCGGCTCTGCTCCCGCCCCCGCCCGCTCGCCGCGGGTCCCCCGGGGCCGCCGCCGGGCGCGGGCCTCCTTCGTGGACGAGTCGCTGTTCGGGCGCCCCGCGGGTGCCCGCCCGCCGCCGCCCGCCTTCGCACCGCCCTGGGCGGCTCCTCCGGCTCCCGCTGCCGGCGGCTCCCGGCCGAGGAGTCAGTGCAGGTGAGCGGCGGCTCAGGGTGCTCCCCCGGTCCTGCTCGCCCCGGCCCCGCAGCCCCCGGCCCGCTGTCCCGCATTTCGGGGCTCACTACGCGTGAAGGGGGTCGGTGGCTCCCGGGAGGGTCTGGCGGGGGGTGTCAGCCTCCCACGGGGGTCTCTCCGCCCCTCGTGAATCCCTCCCCATCCCGCTCGGGTCCTGGTGATGCCGCTCTAACCAACACGTGTCTCTCCGCTTGTCGCCCCGCCAAGGTCCCGAAGCCACGCTCCGTCCTTCTGCGACGAGTCCCTGTTCGGTGCCAAGCCCCAAGGTGCCGCTTGGGCAGCTCCGTGGATGAGGAAACAAGACATAGCCAAGCTCCATACGCTGCTGTGGAGCCCCCCGCCCGCCCCTCGAAACCAGCCCGGCCTTTCCCCCCGCTCCAGGGGGACACCCCTGAGAGCCGTGCACCCGCCAGCCTCTGCCCCTCCGGCCACAGCGGGCTCAGAGCCCGGACACAGGGGCAAATCCGGTGGCTGGAAGTGTCCCGAGAGCAATGCCTGCTCCGAAGGCTGGGGGCCTCCTGTCAGAGGACGTTCCCAGTCTGTCAGCCGGCTCAGCGCCCCCTTGGAAAGGCTTCACCTGGCTTCAGACAACCTCGGGACAGAAAGGTGGAAAAACCGGAGTGCTCCGACAACCCCTGCCTCCTCCGGAGGCCCTCTGATGAGGGGCAGGTCCAAAAGCTTGTCCGGACCTCCTGTGGCCAGGAATGGCAAGGCAGCAGGTGGCTGCAAGCCCAGACCACCCTGGAAGTGATGCCAAATGTCCCTCTGGATGTACATAACAGCCTTAGAACTACCTGAGACCTCCTAGTGACCAAGTGTGTGAGGACCCTGTGCTTTTCTGTGGCTGGAAACAAAGGATGGGGCTGTTCCATGCTGGAGGACAAGCCAGGAGCTGGAGGTGACCACAGCACTGGGGGCAGTGGAGGGCACAACCCCACAGTACCAGAGTGGGATGGCCTTGGTGGGAACAGCCACTTCCATCGATGCCCAGTTGTGGTCAGATGAGGTGTGGTAACGAGTCAGGTTCCTGCTGTCCGCGAAGTCCAGCTGGGAAGTCAGAGCAGCAGGAGACAGGAGTGCCCACAGGGTAGTCCAAGGCCCATCCAGGAGAAGGACCACGCACAGGTACAGTGACAGCCCAGAGCAGCAGGGACAGGCAGGGCCCAGCTCCCAAAACAGGGAGCAGGGGGTGCCACCGGGGTGGGGGTCCCAGGCGAGGCCAGCCAGGGCAGCTGAGGTCTGAGGGTCCCAAAGGGAATCTTTGCTGACCAATTCTGGGGAGAGGAGTCCTGCTCTGTCCTGCCTGTCACGTGCAATCACAGGATTGCTCATGGTTGTGGGAATGCAGGCGATCCCTATTTCAACCTCCTGCTTGTGGCAGGTGAGCTTTGGCTTTATCCAGTCAGGTGCTGGAAACCCCCAAGGGTAGAGGCTGCACAGCCTCTCTGGCCCCTCTCCCACTGCTCCACTGTCCTTGAGGCAGAAACTTTCCTTTTATATCCAGTCAGAGCCTTTGTTGTTTCAATTTGTGTCTGTTCTCATTCTGAGCACAAAGCTTGGCCCAACCCTCACGGACACCTCCTCTTCACAGGTACTGGGAGGCTGCTTTTAGCCCCCCCCAAAACATTCCCTTTTCCAGAGAAGGAGCCCCATTCCCTCTGCCTCCGTGCACAGGACGTGTGCTCCAGCCCTGACGGCCTTGGTGTCTCCCTGCTGTCCTTGCTCCGTGTCATCGACGCTTTAAGGTCTCCTCTGGCAAGTCTGGAGAAAGGAGGATGAGTTTGGAGATGAGGAATGGCATCACCCTGCATCCTGCTGGTGGTGGGATGGCCCCAAGCTGGGTGGGGTTTGTGACAGAGGAGGATCAGCTGCAGGGATTTTGGCAGCTCATGGTGATGAGCTGCTGAGTGGACACGTAACCCTATGGCTTGTGCTGAGGGTTGTTCACAGCAGTGCCATGCTGTCACCAAATAAATGATCCAAGACAAATCTGGGACCTCATGTTTGGTCCGTGGGATGCTGCTGAGCCATCTGGGCATCTCCGAAGACTGACTGAGTAAAGCATCTCCTCAGTTTCCATCCCTGAGGTGGGAAAGAGCAGCTTGGTCTGTAGGAATGTAGGTGGGGAGGCAGATAAAGGACATGGGCTGGGTGACTCGGGGTTTGCAGTCACTGCTCCCTGGGGAGGGAGGCTGTGGTGAGGAGCTCATGAGGTCAGGGAATACAGGAGAGTCCTGGCAGTTTGGTAACTCCCTCCAACGCAAAGGGAAACACTCCAATACACCCCAGGACACACTGAGCCAGGTTAAGAGCATCATTCTGCCCCCAGAAATTATTTTATTGCACCTTGAGCACCAGCAGGATTGTGCCTTGACCCACTCCAGCACGTGGAGCTGGAGCCAGCCAGGAGCCTGCCCTGCAGGGATTTTGTGCTTATTTCTTGGCCTTCTTGCCCCCTCCCTTTTTCTTTGTCTCTGGCATGAGGAATGTCTGGAACAGGCGGCTTTCCTGGATGTGGGTGTTGTGGCTCAGGTTGTGGCTGTATCCTTCCCATTCCAGTCATTCTCCTGCTGTGTCCAGGAACAGCAGGTAAGCACGGTGTGTTTCTCCTTCAGGACAAGCCCTTTCCTGGGTGCAGACAGCACAAAGTACCTCTGGTTCAGCCTGCCAAGGCAGCAGGTGCCAGTTCCTGCAAGCTTGAGGGCATTGAGCAGGTTCCTCCTGCACATCCCTACAAAGGGATCCTTTTACCTATCCCAGATCTGGGTAGAATTGCCCCTGGCTGCTGAACTGAGCCTTCCCAAGGGACCAAATGAAGGAAATGTGCCTGAATGGGACTTTTCAAGAGGTGTCAGGTCTAAATACCTTCATGCTCCTTTGAACCTCCCCAGAAAGCCAAGGACAGTTGGGTTTGGTGGCACTCAACAGAGGAGGAGGGTTAGGGGATCCAGCATTCCTGGGCCTGGTGCTCCAGCCACCTTTGGCAGGTAGAAAGCAAGAATAGCCTGATGTTGTTAAAACCTGAGAAGGTGAGTGAGGATCCTTGGGATTAGCTCCAAGCTCTCGGATCTTTCCCGACACTTCCCATTGTGTCAGTCCAGCAGCTCTTCTCCACCTGGGTAAAAACTGGAGGGACATGGAACAACTGGGGCCTTCTCAGAAGAGGGGTTGGGGGTGAACCTGAGCCTGCTCAGCTTAATTTGGGATGTGGGCACAGTGATGTGCAACCTGTGAAGGCTGTGGGCTGGGAGAGAATCCGGGTGTGATTTGGACACTAGATGGAGACAAGAGGGTTGAGGATAGACAGAAAAGCGGGAACAGTGTTCCCCAGCAGCAGGGGGATGAGTCGGATGCAGTGGAGTGAATCATCAGCCCACTGGGGTAGCTGCCCCGAAATCTCAACAGCAGAGAACTGAACCAGTGCCATACTGGAGAGCTGGAGACCTTGAAAGGTGGAGCCTCTTAAAATGAAGAGAGATTTTATCTGAAAAACAAGTTGACAGGGGCTTGTATGGCCAGTTTGCTCCTACTGTTGTGTTCAGGCTCCAAGGAATCAGCAGGGAAAACTCAGAGCCCATCACATCAGCCACCTTTCCTGTCCCAGGGTGTCACCGAGGGCTTCCAGGAGGTCAGACCTGGCACTTGCTCGCTATTTACACCACAAGGACAGTGTTGGTGAAATAGAAATGGGTTTATATGGGTTGTTTGCATTTTGTTCTGCAAACATTTTGTTCTGTTCTCACTCATGTGGGTGCTTTCCTGTTGCTCTGTCCTCTTGTTCTGCCGGGGCTGTGCAGCCCAGCACAAGAGCAAAAGCTGGTCCATTACTGCTGGGCCTGCCCTGCCTGCTGGAACTGGTGCCTGTGTGGTAAAAAAACATTAAATCTGTATAAAACGAGGCAGGGGGAACGTTCATTCTTTTCCTAGCTCCAGATCCACACTGTCCAGTGTCACTGATGCTTGGCTCAGGCAAGAGTTGTTGATACAGAGGCCTGAATCAAGCTGGGACTCCTGCCTGCTGCTGCTCTCATTTCTCTGTCTGTTCAGCACTGCTATAAATCTCACTTTCCACCTTTCACTCAACCCTGGCTCCTTTGACTTGAGTCTCTCAACAAAGTACCAGCTGCTCTGGGAGCTTCCAAAATCACCTGTGCCCAGCCCTAGGTGCTACAAACAACTATAAAAGACGTTTTAGTGTGTGGGCAGTGTTACCTTTGCTCTGCTTGGCCCAGACCAGCTCCCTTGTTTCTCTACACAGACACCTGTGTGTGTGGAGATCTGTAGCAGCTGGGTGTGCAGCCCCTCTGATGTGGAACAGCGCTTTGAGGAGCAGGTTTTGAGGCTGAGGCAGCGGATGGGGAGAAAAGGTGGTCCTGTGAAGAAGCTGCTTGCTTGGGCATTGCAGTTGTGTTGCTGCAGGGCTGCCTTCCACTGAAATCAGCAGAGTGCTGAAGTGGAACGGGCACCCCAAAAACCAGCATGTGCACCCTGCCAGGAGCTGGCAGGAGCCAGGGGGTTGCCTGGCACAGGCAACAGCCTGATCTGCAGCACTACAACAGGTTTAATCTCCTGCAGGACCTTCCTGAGAGCCAGTGTTGCTTCTCAGTGCTCCCATACAGGTGTGGGGGGTTGTGTCCTGTAGCTCAACACCTCCTTTGGGAAAGTCTGTGGCTCCTGTTCCTGATAATGCATCACTTCCCACTTGGTCTGGGATCTTGAACTTTGAGCCAGCTCCTGTAAGCTGTTGTTGGGATCTCACATCACATTGCCCTGGTAAATCCAGCCCTGGAGGGTGAAGGAAATACCACCAAGAAGGAGAGGGCACATCGAGGCATCAGGTGGGCTGCAAAGGTGTGGGTAATTTAAGATTGGACAGCTTTGCTCTGATATCAAGGGGGATGCTCCAGCCGGACAGAGGCTTTTCCTACCCATTCCTAACACTGACAGGAGTCCTACCGGTGCCAAAATCCATTTCAGCCACTGGGCAGAGCCTGGTGGCTTTACCACTAGAACTGGGCACAGATGGACTGTCCTGGGGGCTGCCTGTGGGCGAAACGCTCAGCCTGGACCACTGGAACAGGTTTATTCATTACACAGGCTGCTCACTTCCAGCTTGGGAATCCTCACCTCATCAGGTGTGGATGGAATCCCGGGCCCTTGGGATGTGTATTCCATGGTGGGCCCCTCACAGCACCTGCTTTACCCGCGGGGCTGGGCTGAGGCGCCCTCGGGGCCGCACTGATCCCTGCAGCCAACGGGAACTGGAACCTGGGAACAGGGACGTCCCTTCCTGGAGCGGGGGAAACGGGGTGGCCCAGCCCAGAAGCTGGTGTGGGGGTCCCGGGGGGAGTGTCCTGGCCCAGCCCCGTAGCGAGAGGGGTCCCCGGGGGGGTTGTCCCTGTCCAGCCCAGGAGCGGGGGTGTCCCGGGAGGATCCCGGTCCAGGTTCCCCTCCGGGCTCCCCGGGCCGCTCCCGCCGTTGCCCGGCAACCACTCCGCCCCCTCTGACCTCCGGGGGCGGGGCCTCAGCGCAGCCAATGGCAGCCCGCGATCTTCTTCCCGAGAGCCCACCTCCGCCAACTCGGGCCAATCAACGTCCCCGCCTGTCCTGAGGGACAGCGCTGCTACCCAATGGCGAGGCGGCATGCGCGAGGGGAGGAGGAGGGAGGCGGGATCAACACGGGTCCTCCCGCAGGGGGCGGGGCCGCACGCGGCTCGCGGATTGGCGGGAGATGCAAACGCTCCGCCCTTTAGGGCGGGGCCGTGGGTGAGGCAGCCAATGGGGAGGCGCGGGGGGCGGGGCCGCGCGCGCGGGGCGCTGAGGAGCCGCGGACGCTGCGGGCGCCGGTTCGGAGGGGCCGGGACGGGCCGGGGGGTCCCGGAGGGTGTTCGGGGGGCTCGGGGTGTCCCGGAGGGTCCCGCGGGCACGGGGGGCTGGAGCGGAGCCGGTTTACGCGTGGGTGAGGGGGGCGGCGGGGCCGGGGGGCTCGGGGAGGCGGCAGGGCCGGGCCGGGCTCCGTGACAGCTCCGTGCCCGTGTCCCTCCCGCCGGGCAGGGGCAGCTTGTGTGGGTTGTCCCCGCGGCGCTGCCCTGGGCCTGCTTGATTTTTCCTTTCCCCGTCACCTTTTAGAGAAACCCGTGACCTTGTGGGGCATCGCGCAGTTAAAAATATCCCACGGGAACTTCATGTGTGCGGACTCCAAGCGGCCTCCGGGGCTCCCTGTTTCCCGTCCCCAGCTGGGACCGAGGCGTGCGGGCTCGTCGGGGGACAGAGCCATGTGTGACGGGGACACTTAGCACCATGCTGGCTCCGGATGCGACACCCCCGCTGCCCCTGGTGCCGAGGGGTCAGGAGTTTGCCAGGGAACGCTTTTCCTGCTTCCCTGCTGCCCTGCGCTGGCTGGGATAGACAGCCCGGACCTCGCTTTTTGAGTTCAGCTTTGGCATAAATACGTCGAGCTCGGCATCCTGCGTTTTGCTTTTCTGGAAAGCAGATAACTCGATCTCCTTTTGGAACTGTGGTCTCCAGAGATGGGTGCGTGTAGTGTTATGACCATGTGTCCAGAAGACAGCCCCGATGGAGGACATTCCCGGGACAGGTTTTGACACAAGCGTTTCACAAGTGGGACTGGAAAAGGCGTTATTTAAAGCTCTGGGAGCAGCAGCCTCTGGAGGGACGGGATGGCTGTGAGCATGGACGATGACGTTCCCCTCATCCTCACCCTGGACGACAGTGGGAGCACTGCCTCAGCCCCTCTGGATGACCTGGATCGGGAGGAGCTGCCTAACGAAAGTAAGATCCCTTTGTCATTCCCTGCCCACTTGTCTGTCTCTTTTGTGGTGGTTGCTCTTCCCGGTGCTTGCCAGGGCCTGAAACTCTCCGAGTTGTCTCTCGGCATCCCGGGGCTGCCTGAGAAAATCACATCAGGTAGTTGCTGCTTGTGTTGGTTGTTTGCTCACAGCTCCATGTGACACTGAATGGGCTGGATGGATCCTACCAGTGCTGTTTCTAGCACACATTTTTGGGTTTCTGTGTGACCTTAAGCCCAACCCTTCTCCAGGTTGTCCCTGAGCATCTCCTTCCCTTGGCACTGCCCCACTGCAGTTACCTCATGTAGTATTTTCCTATAAACATCTGCCCTTTACGACTGTTGTTTTGCTCATTTCTTAGTTTACATTCTGATTTTTGCAATAAGAAAAGTGATAATGGGCCGATAAATGCCTTTAACATTTTTATTGTGTTCTTATCAAACAACCTGGAGTACTTTTAGACAATTATTCCTGCTGGTGTGAGCCCCAGGGGTTCAGTGGGGCAGAGCCAGTCTGTGAGCACTGGGAGGGGAAAAACAAAAGCCACCATCACTCACCAGCTTTGGGTTTTTTGTATCTTCATTAAACCATCACCCTGCAGCAGGTTGGATGGGTACAGAGATGTGTCTGAGCGTGTTCAGGGAGTTTCTGGTTTGTTTGCACCGTGTCACTGAATGTATCTGAGCAGTTTTGTTCCCCACATCCCTGTGACTTCCAGCTGACATTGCAGGTGCATGCACAGGTCTTGTGATCCTGCTCCAGCCCTTTGTGCCACAAGCTGAACATTTGTAACAAAGTAATCGTTTCCTGGCCTGGCATCCTTTTTTTATCCACATTATTATTCCTCTGTGCCTCTGAGATTTGATTCCTCTTCTAATCAGATGGATTCCCTTAATTTGCTCCTTCTGTGACTTCCCAAGTCAAGACTTAGTTTTGGACAATAAAGATTCTTCCTCTCTCCTCCCCCTCTTCTCCCACCCCTGCAGTTGACTTTCCCTAAGCTCTGCTGCATCCTTGCTCCATCCCATCTGTTTGTCTTTTAAAAAGTTAAGCTCTCTATTTTTAAGTTAAATAGAAGAGAGAATTCTTCCTCCATCCACTGGTGTATTTATAGGATTCCTTGTGACTAATTTTAATCACTCTTCTGTCTTTCTTCCCCCCGCCTCCCATCCCTTCAAAGAAGAAGTTGGGCAAGGCTTAACTTTTGCTTAAAGCCAACACTACTGTGTTAAAGCACAGGCATGAGAATGGATGTATTAATAAATAAAAATACTCCACAATCTGCTTCCCTGGAAATACAGGGCAGTTGTTTAGGGGCCAATTTTACGCTTCTTAAAAGATTGCTGTGTGGTTTCTGAGACCTCATTTCCTGGGATTCTCCGAATGAAATGTCTCTTATTTTGCCCTATGTTTTAATCGCTGTTTAAGTTGGATTTGCTGCAAAAATATAAAGCTTATTCTATGGAAGTGATAGGGAAGGAACCTTCTGAAGCCAGGGTGGGATGGAGGATTAGAGGAGGAAGGCTGGCATCAACAACTTGAAAGGCGCGTTTATCTTGAGAAGCGGGAAGCTTAAATGAGTGAGTGAGCACAGTGACACCATCACTGGCAAAAGTAAGCTTGTTTAAAAACCAGGACGTGTGGTGCAGCTTTTCCTCTTTGCCTGCATGGAAAATCTGCTGTGAAATGCAGCAAATTTGTATCTCATGGAGGCTGTGAGGAATCAAATGTGTCCCTTCTGCTCTGCGGCCCCTTTGCTGCTGAGGACTGAAATGGCATTAACAGAACTGTGTAATGTCGTGGTTTTAGTCAGAAACTTGTCTTTCCCAGGGAAAAAGAGTATGTGAGAAGTTCTTTTGAAGAGAGGGAGAACCTCCCAGGGTGATGATGAGGACATGGAGACAGGGAAGGTCAGGAGGCTGTTTCCTTCTGGTTTTGTCTTCCTTTTGCATAAACTCTGCTAATAGAACATTCAGCCAGAATTTGGAGGAACAGCTCACTCCTTACAGTGCCTCACCATCAACTCCTGAGGATTCAGTGGTGGGTTAAACACAAAGCTTTTATTTCAGTGTGTCCCCAGAACAGGCTGGGACTGTTTGCAGTGAAGGACCCATCGTCCTCTTCCAAGTGACACCAAGGGAAAGACAAAGTCGCTGTAACTGCCCTTTGTTAAATCACACGTTTGTGGTTGATCATAATTTTCATTCTTGTTTTGTGTTGCTGCATCCACAAACCTCTCTAAGTTTTAATTCATTTTCCTGTCACAAGTGTCTCCCTAAGTGCTGTGTACCTGTGTGGTTCAGTGTATCAGCTCTTGTGTTATTTAAGGAACTTGTTGTGCTTTTAAAAGAGAAAAACCTACCCGTGGTGTGGCTTTGTTACAATCGGGTCCTTGGGTAGATGAATTTGTAGTTTTGGGCTCTTGGTGTTGATTGTCTGGAAGTGCAGACAAGTTGCTGGGTTGAAATAAGTAGAAACAGGGTTTTCCAAAAAAAAATAGCAGACGTAAAAAGAAAGGACCAAAGTGCAGGAGTGGATTCTTTTCCAAAGCTTTCAGAAGAGTCCTCTCCTGGGTAAGCAAATGTCTGGGGGTTAGAATAAAAGGAAGCTAAAGGAGAAAATTGTGTGGAAAATTACATTCTTAGACAAAATGTCCAGCTGCAAAAATTAATCTCCCAAATAATCCAGCTCTTAAGCACTTAATGGGAGAAAATACTTGCATGGGGAGGAATGTTAAACCTCTGCCTTGCTTGGCTTGTGCTGGGATACAGGGCTTCCAGGGAGCTCCCGTTTGCAGCCACCACAAAGGATCAGGATCCTGCAAAGCTGACAGGAATTCAGCCCACAGCCAGAAAAATGTGGTCCCTGTGGTGCTGGTGGTTTTCTGACTGCACCGTGTAGGACTTCAGCGCTGGGGAATTTTTCTCTCAAGCTCCAGCAGCTGAAGGAGACAGAGAGCAGCTCTTTCATCACTGAGTCCACGCTAATGAATGTGACGCTGCCCTTCCCTGGAACATCTTATCTGAGGATCTCTGAGTGCTGTACACGCTCTGATTAAACTCCCCAGCACCTGCCTGAGGTGAATGACTAACATGAAACTGCATTTCTGTGCGAGGCAAAAAGGGGGGTGCGATCCTCGCGTGGCCTCTCCCAAAATCGTGTTCTGAGAACGATGAGGACCTGCCAGGGTTTAGTGATTTCCCATCCCTCACCCAAACTCCTGGGAAGTGTTCAAACAGAGTTCTCAAAATATCTCAAAGTGCAATGTCTGTTTTCCATCTACAAAGGCAGCGTGGATAGCCTTGAAACTCCGGGACAGTGTCTCTCCTTGAGCTGATGGGAACTATAAGCAATAAATGAGTGCACATTGATTTATCCTGTATTAGATCAGGTACAAGATTCTCCTTTACCTCCACATGGAAATTGCTGTGGGCTCAAGTGGAGTTTCAGTGTGTTCAGAGCAGAAAGTACAGCTCCGAGTGTCGGAGAGGGAACAATGGGATATTGTCTGTTTTCCCACACAATAGGTGATGGCAGGGGGAAGAAGTCATCTTTCAACTCTGGGTTTTTTACAAGAAAGCAACTGCTTCTGCTGTTGAGGTAAAAATTAATTATTGGGGGGGTGGGGGAGCAACTGCAACAGCCAAGAGAGACGTTTTCTAGAAGGATTGTTGGAAAATGGGAAGTTATAACTTTGAATGGGGTTTCAGGTGGGCCTTTGCAATCTCACTTCCTGCTGTCTAAGCAGTAAATTGTCAGGAAAACTAGAGCCAGCCTGGCCTTTTGGGATTGTTGACATGTGCCCCTGTGCCTGTCACTGCTGGGAATGAGCAGGTAGCCCCAGCTGTGTAAGGAAAAGGAGATTTCTCTGTTGGTGAGGTTGGAGGGGAGTGCCCCAGGTTTGCTTGGTGAGGAATGTGGGTAAGGAAAGCCCAAAGACTGTTGGTTGTGCCTGTGAGAGTGTAGTGTGTGCTGTGCTTCCCAGAGTGCTGGAGGGGGCCTCTGCCCTTGCCTGGTGTCTGCACAGTTCCCTGATGGAATGTGTGAAGGGGCTTTCAGCAAAGCTGTTCTTTTTGTAATTGGCTGGTGGAGACCCATGTGGTGGTTCTGAACAGTCTAATTACAGCAGTAATGGATGTCGTGTACACTGAACTTGTCTTCTTTAAATACAATTCCTTTACTAATCCCCAGGTAGACATTTGCTTTTGGGAGTGGCCCAGGATTTGGGGCAGTTAATGTTCTTTTGAGGCACGTGAGCCACCTGGATTTTGAAGTATTTGGTAACCAGTGCAACCTGAAGTGATAAAAGTCTCTTCTGTGTTGGATCTGGTTCCAGAACATGTTTGTATCAGCAGTGAGAGGGTAAGTCTGTCCATGTAGTCCACAGCTTCAGCTCATCTGGTCGTGGAATCGTCCCAGAGAACCACAGAATGGTTTGGGTTGGGAGGGACCTTAAAGCTCATCTCATTCCAACCTCCTGCCATGGGCAGGGACACCTTCCACTATCCCAGGTTGCTCCAAGCCCTGTCCAAGCTGGCCTTGGACACTTCCAGGGATGGGGCAGCCACAGTTTCTCTGGGCAACCTGTGCCAGGGCCTCCCCACCCTCACAGGGAAGGATTTCTTCCCAATACCCCACCTCACCCTGCCCTCTGGCAGTGGGAAGCCATTCCCCCTTGTCCTGTCACTCCTGGCCCTTGTAAAAAGTCAATGAATCCCTGCTGTTCAGATATCCTTGTTGCCTTCTTCCTACTGCCACTTCCTTTAGTGCCATCTGTGGATGAAAGAGGTTTCCAGGTGTAAAACAATTCCTAATGGGCTGAGGAAACAAAGAATAAATACCTGGCCTTTGGGGAAATGCTGCAACCACACAAACTCTTAGTTGCTGTGCTTCTTGAGGAACCATTTCAATTGCTGTGGGTGCATTCTGGCTTTGCTACCTTTGGAGGAAAAGAGGCATTTTAAATGTCGGCCATCTGGCAGA